CTGACCTTGCTTTTCAGGACTGAAAAATTAAAAGCAGCATGGGACTTCATGTGGGTCTACTGTTTAGGATGTAGGGTGTAGAGTTCAGGGTGTAGGATGATTCCTCTGCAGGCAAACATAAAGCCCCACTTCCAAAGAACAAAGCCTCACTTGTGAAGAACGGCAGTGTAATTGTTACTGGTTTATGTACGTGCTTGACTAGTCAATATTTGGGAAGTTGAATGTTCGGCACTCCGGTCTTCGCAGCACTGACTGGACCGTGGACCATGCGGGGGAGTATTCGTCGACAGGCCCTCACTTAGTGAAGACTACCAAGTCGAAAAAGTAGGAGAAGAAGGAGAAGGGGAGGGGAAGATCGAGAAAAACAAGGTATGGATAGAAGGACTGATGCATCGGTGGATGTCTGTGTGTGTGTGTGCGCGGATTTGTTTTGGCGTGGGGTACCGAGGCCACGATGCTTTAAACACGTGGGTGTGGAGCTTAGCTTGGGACGCCGTACACGCATGGAAATGCAGCATCCTGTCATGAGGTGCCCATCCTTATATTGCATGGTGAGCTGGATAAGGCCGTTGGGAAGGTTCAGTCTAGAGACATCTCGGGGAGATGCAGACTTGCGGGTTTCGAGAAGAACACCTTTTTGCGCGTTGACTTCTGCCAAGTGGGCTGCGGGAAAGCTAGTACTGCTGCGGCTGTGCCACAAAACACTTTGGCTCTTGCGGTAACAGCGATGAGCATCCCGGAAAGCCTGACTCGTGGGTTCGGCAGGTCATCAAGCCTTACCATGGGAGGGCATTGTTGCAGAAGGCACTTCTGAGCTTTTGTGTCTCCAAGCCATCTTCTTGCCTGTTTGCGGAGGCTGTGGAAACGGGGCATCCGCAGGTGGAGGTGCGAGTCTCATGGCAAGGGGCCGTGGATGAGCACTTCAAGCATTGAATGTGCTGCCTTTTGATTGGCGGCCAAGAGTTCTTTGCAAGCCTGCCTGTTGCTGCGAGAAGCCCCTCAATGAAGCTTGACCAGGGCGTTTTCCCGCCGAATGCTTCCCACAACCATTGGAGCCTGCGCAGTGCTCTCAGCGTTTCTTGGAACTCTTGACGTCGTACCGTAAAAAAGCTTAAGTTTCGTAAGCTCCAACGTGTCCTTAGGTGAAGATGTGGTGAAGCCTATGCAGTCGAACCGCCGACATGCTTGCTTTTTGTTGCATAATTAGTCGTTGATCGTTGTCAAGCATTTGACGAAAATACAAAGAGTCCGAGTACGCTCTAAAGCCACCCACTTGATATGATCAGCACTGTCAATTCATCGTTATCGTTGTCTCGGAAGGAGTACTTGTATTTGACGGTTGCCAACGATGATATTTTGGGCGGGCACTCACTCATGGATTTTCCTTTGTTTGCCCCAGAAATGCCAGAGATATTGAATCCTGGAGGATCGTTTAGGCTGTGATGTCGTGAGTCTAGGTCATGTGCCTGAACCCTTCCCTGACTTGCTTCTGTGCCTGGCAGGTTCTGTCAGCGCCATGTGGCCGGCTGGCGGGAGCAGCAGGCAGACAGCTACTTTGGAGCAAGTGCCGCCGCGTGACTATTGTCGCAGCAATCAGTTCAACTGGTTCTCACAATGTACTCCTGCATGTGCTGCCGCTCTTGCCAGTGCTGCAAGCACAGCAGTGCAGCTGCCACTGCTTCTGCTACATTGATTGGAGCTCTTGTTTCTTTGGTGTCCGCTTGCAGGCTTCGTGGCTCACAGGCGATGGCATCTCATTGAGATGCTTCTGATGTTCCGCAGCTGCATGCAGCTGGGTGTGTTGCATGTGTGCTCCGTACTGATTGCCAATGAGGGGCAACCTTCTGAGTCCTGACGTGTAGTGTTCTGGGCTTAGCAGCAGACTAGCAGACTCTAGTGACTCTACTAGCTTCGACCCAGAAAGTTCGAGCCTGTGCGGCGACATGAAGCAAGCAAGAAGCTCAAAGGTTTAACATTTATGGAAAATGTGCTTTTCAAATAGCTAGCAAGGAAATTCACTGAGTTGCATGGCACCATGCCAAAGTGCAAACGCACGCCACGCATGGTCGTAGAGCCATCTGCAAGTGCCTCCAGACTTGCCTCCAGCAGGTTGCAAAGAGCCAACCGCAGGTGCAAGAAAAGCTGGTGTTCGATCTTTGCTGTTTAACTTTCCGGTAGAGCTGACTTCCTGTCAGACAACCTTTAGAGCAAACGCATGAGCCCCTATTCATGCACAACATGGATGACTTGCTTGCAGCTGCGGGATGACGTTCTGACCAAGCCTCTCATAGTAGGCAAAGGTCAGGTAGACCGTTAGCACGGAGCGTCCGCAGCTGTCTCACCTGAAGCACCTGCACTCAAGAGTTCAGCCTCAGGCAACATGGCAATTACAAGTCTCAAGAAAGCCGAAGCCGCATGGAGCCCCAGCTAGCGGGCCAGCTGGCTGAGCTGCTGCTGCTCACGCAACACGGCCAATTTGGGTCAGGTTGGTGTGGCGCTATGAGCTGTGAAGTATCCCTGTTCTTTGATCAACGGTCCAAGGCTGCTGGCCAATGCTACGCTGCTTGCAGCCAGGAGGGCGGTTACTGCCAGTCTCAAGGACGAAGGGACACTCGAGTTCGATTGTCAACCCTTGCAACATTATGTAAGCAACCCATTGAAGGAAGGCAGCAGCTTTTTCCTGGAAGGCGTACAGAGGGACTCACCGCCAGGCAGGGCGAAGGGTACGGACATGGTCTTTTTCAGCATTGAAGCTTCAGGGGTCCGAGTTGAAAACCAAGTAGGCTGGTCAATAGCAGAGTGCAAGATGTCATGCTGACTTTGGTGTGCTGTGTGGAGCATTGGCTGAGGTTGTGTGGCACAGTCGGCAACATATTCCTGTGGGGTCATGGGCGTGGAGTGCTGTATTCAAGCGCGTGTGAGGCCTGCACCTGGAGAAGCTCTCGTCTGCAGGGGCTTACGACTTGGGCGGCACATGCCTAGTGATAGGGGTACAGCTCTTCGGCAGCATACGAGGAAAGGGTCTGGCATGGGGACAGCCACAGAGCAGTTATACTTTACCGAAGCTTGTGCTTTTGAAAGGCACCTCCTTGGAGCAGTTCTTTGTCTGCCAGAGGTGACTCGAAATGTCAGCACTGTGCCATGGCCAAATTTCGATGAACGACCACGGGAGCTTGGGTAGGTAAATCCTTAAATGTCTTGGTTCGCCCACACATCATGTGGTTTTAGGGCTTAGGGTTTTCAGGAAGGCTTTTTGCACAAGGCACAGTGGCCCCGCTAGTCAAGCCCAGCCTATGCCGCCATGACCAAACAAGAGCTGTCACAAGACAGCCCCATGACAAAAGAGGAAATGGAAGAGTTTGAACAATTCAAAGCTTGGAAGAAATCGCAAGCCCAGTCCTCCACCAGATCGACCTCTCCACCCAAGAAGCAGAAGACTGGAGAAGATCCTTTGACTATAGCAGAACTTGATCCAGAATTTGCTGGAGCACTCCAAAGTTTAGGAGTTGACTACCTTGAGATCGATCCTGCGTTGCGACAGCACCTCCGGCATAGTCAGCAAGCCAGAAAGGATTTTTTGGTGATCCATCGACGAGCAGACCTCCGCAAGTACGACCCGGCCACAGGTTCTTTTCAGGAAGATTCGCCAGCCCGTAAGAGGGATTTTGCCAGTGCGACCTCCGAGACAACCATAGCAGAAACTCTGGAGCCAACTGTTTAGAGAAGCTATGCTCACATATCATGCAGGAAGCGTCCTCCCCAACATGACGAACTTGTTTGAGCAGCGCGACCTCTTTTACCAAAACGGCGCCACCGAAACAGCTATGCAGCAGTTCTACAACGAGAAGCTTTCAGCCCAGGTACAGTCCCTGGAACAGAGTCGTGCTAACAAAACGCTCCTCCTCCACGATTTGCCGCCATTTGCCTCCAGAGCTGTACTGGAAAGCAATATCAGCCACTTTCTGTATGGAGCAGGATTCAGCCAAGATGCAGTAGCAGCACTCCACAACCATTTGGTGACCTCCAGTTCGGCAACTGTACGGGTCGAGTTTACCACCGAAAACTTTGCAAAGCAATTCCAAACATCTATGAGAAGCAGCAAGAAGTATTGGAAGGTTCCGAATATCTCTGACACCCGCGCCAAGGTTGAGATCGACCAACCTATGGACGACAGGATTGCCAGCCAGGCCTACTTCGCTCTACTTGATATTTTGGGCCAGCTCGAGCCCACTGCGGAGCTCCAAACCTGGAAGCAGACACTTCAGATCTGGACAGCCAAGGACCAGCCTCAACAACAGTTGCTCGCTCAGGTGAGCTACGTATTGGATCCGAGATTTCCTCGCCGATACAGCTGCTTGGTGATGATAGTTGAGAAGCACTACGACGCAGTTCTCCAGGAGTGGCATGTCGCGTTCTCCCAAAGGATGAGGAGCACCATGATCGATCCACTGCAGCTTTTCACACTGAGGTGGTCCGAAAGGAGACCTCGCCAGTGCATGCGTGGAGTGTTTACCTTGGGCTGAAGTCGCCAAGGTATGCTTCTGGGGTGACGGGCCACGTCAACCTGCAGGAGACCCGTGCTTTACGTCGTGAAGTGTAGAAAATGGCTTCGAAGTTTGAGAGTGGCGGCCAGATTCAAATATGCTTAGTGATTTGATTGTTAGAGATAACGTTGAGTTCTGTACGGGAGCTTGGGCATGGCTTGAGATTTGGCCCAAGATCTCAGTACCTGTGTTTGCAAGAGGCCTGTGGCATAAATGGCTTCTCGAAGGGGTTTGCTGGTTGTGCTGTGGGCCGTTACCGGTCAAACGGCAGGCTGGGGTTGGTGGGTCCCCGTCTCCCCTCATGTAAGGGCCAATATGACGTTCTCCTACCACGCTGCCCCGAATGGCACTGGTGGGTGGTACCACCCGAAGTGGAGATCACCCACCTCTCGCCAACCGATCTTGGTGGAGGTTTTGGAAAAGATCCACTGCGTGAGGCCGCCTGCAGCACCTGCGGC